GTAATATGAATTCGCCTTGTTTACAACAAACACATCATTTTGACATTATAAATTCGCCTTGATCCCTGATTTATACATTAAATTCGTCTTGAGCTTGACATTTAAGTGGAACGTGGAACAGCTAATGTCAGAAGACGTTGATAATTGCTTCTTCTTATTTTGAAGAAGAAGAATATAAACAAACACATGTGATTTAGGGAATACAACTATTAATTGTAAAAAATGGCACGTAAAAGAAAAATTCCTGCTCGTAAGCATCATGGAGTCCGTGATCCACTTAAGCAACTGGAAGCGAAGCAGAAAAGGTATTCTTATTACAAATTTTACAAGATATTTCATATGATATACAACATATGTATGTTTGCAGACTGAGTAAAGTTACAAACAATCCTCCAGAACACGACAGTCAGCAAGTATCATTTAAATTCGCACAATTTAAGAAATTGGTGGATGACACAAAAGCTGGAAAGAAAATCAAACGTATACACAAAGGTCGGGAAGATAAACCCAAAAACAATGCAACAAATTCAAAAAAGTTCACGTACATAAAAAAGTTAAGAGATGAAACCGATGAAGATTACTTAAAGCGGGTAAACCGAGTAACCACCCAGTCTTTGCGGGAAGCGCAGTACGAAGCCAAATATGGGGTTAATGTTGTTAGGAATCCTAAAACCGGAGAAATTTCTATTACAAAAAAGCCAAAAAATGAAATCGATGAACTTTTGAAAGAAAAACAAAAGAGTCGAGGCAAGAGAAAAAATGCAAAAAACACAACATTAAAACCTTTGAATCCCGAGCTTGCGAAAGAATTAATTAAACAGGCCATTAAGGAAGATAAGGAAGAGGTATTTTTCTTCTAACGCAAGGAAGAATTGAGAATTAATTTCATGTTTATTGCAGAAAGCAAAAGCGAATAGGGATATAGAAGAATACAAGCAAGACGTTTTCCGATTTGGGGAAGTGGTACACGCACCTCCCTCGCTTTTAACATTGCCTCGAAAAGCACAAAAGTTCGACACCGTACCCAGAGTAGGAAAACTTTTTTTAGTTTGTTTAGTACATATGTATGTATGTATGTGTTCACTATTTATCTTTCAGCCTGGTAAAAAGTCGAATTTGTTGTTGAAATCGCTGCTACCAGATAACAGAGTCGAAAACGAAAAAGAGTTGAAGGTACCCAAAGTTGCTGATGGTAAAGTGGAGAAACCTGCACTGAGTGGTAAACGGAAGAAACTCCCTCTAGCTACAAGAAAAATGCTCGAAGATGAGCAAGGAAAACTGATTGAAATGTACAGAGCCATGAAGAAAACAAAAGCTAAAAAGTCATGACGTACGTTATAATTTTTATTTTTAAACTAAAAATAAAAAAAAAAAACTTCAATTGAAATCATGCTGTACATTTAATTAATTGTCCGTCTATAAATGGCCATGATTGCACAAAGTTTGCCATGTTAAAATTTGTTTATTTCATTGGCGGTTTGTGTCTAGCTGCAGATCATCGTTTGGGGGGTTGAACAGCCGTTTCTAGAGTTTGAAGAAATCCAGCAGGTTTATTATTATTTTATAGCATTTGGTACTTAGTAGTTTTCTGAGTTGTTTCTTTGTTCTTTTCTCTAAAGTTCAAAGCCATTCACTTTTACTACAGGCCTCCGGAACGTTTTTGAAGCAATTGAGCGAAGCGCTGCGTAACCAGCAACGATGTGTCAATGAAGCGATCAACGCAATTGCTTAAACAAGTTTCTGTGGAACTGTCAAGTTTTGAACCTGGCTTTCCGATACACTTCTCCCAGCAGATATCATTGAACTCGTGTATCTATAAAAATAATATTTACGAATTTCTTGTAATACGTCACAGGTTAAAAGGGTTAATATCAACGAACCTGCGCGTTCACTTGTGCCTTTTGCTTTTCTATCATCAAGAATTCTTGCAATTCTTTGTCGGTGGAAACTGACGAAAGCGAGTCAAAATCTGACATATTGAATATATTAATTTAAAAGTTATTAAAAAAGGAACTGCCGTAGTTGCTATAGTTCCTTTGCCAGTTGCTAAATCAAAAATTTATATAACCTCAATCACACTACGTTCCACAAACAAAACGGCCAGACTTTTAAGATATTTCTAATTGGATTGAATAAAGTGTTGGTATCTCTCTAGTTTGACTGCTGAATTAAAAAATCGTACTAAAACATTAAAGGTGTTCTTACACGATATGTATTTGCATCTGTAAATGTGACTTTTTCAATACATACGTAATTGCGTATGTCTGTCAAATTCACAGTCTTTATTTAACAATTTAAAAATACGTTCTTTGAAAATGAAATAATCTAAACTCACGATGCTTCTATCTGTCTGTCAGATAAAAATAGAAACATTTGTATTTCGTATGTACGTGCGCTATATGTTGGCATTTCCATATGTGTTACTGCCATCCCTAAATTGGCGCGTCAAGCGCCAAACAACTGTCAAAAATCCTCATGCCCATACAATTTGTATGAAGCATCCCACAATAACGCGGCGCTAACGCCGAGCAAATGGAATTTTCATTTTTGACAGGGCGTTACGTGTTGAAGTTGGATGCGGAAGACGGAAAGAAAGAGAAAGGACAAAAAAGTGAAAGAGGAAACGAGAATAAAAACGAGAGAATCTGAGAAAACGTCAAAAATTACGACGCGTTGATTTGGGGATAGCGCGCGCTGACACTCGTCGACAATGGATAACGCAACGCTTAGCGCTCCAATTTAGGGACGGCAGTAAGGAAATTTACTATGTTTATGCGTAGGTTAATTCACAAATTCATTTCATGAATTTGGGTTGAAATTGGCTGCATAAGCACCACTTCATGAATTCAATTACACACGAAAGTTAACAATGAATTCAGCATCATTTCATGAAATCGTGAAATGCAAGTCCGGCAACGCCACGTTTCACAAACAGCTGTTTACTAGGGTTAGGATGCTTTTAGAGTAATAACCATGTTATGCATAACCAGGATTTTAAAAACTGTAAAAGTTACGTAGAATTGTGCAAATATAAAATAAATTCAAATAGAATAAATTGAAAATATATTAAAACCAATTTAAATAAAATATGGGTTATTGCCTGGTACCAACGGCTTTTGCAAATTCAAAAGGAGCAAAAAAAATCACAACTCTACTCTTTAGGTTCCCGCCAGTGCGTGGCCACTTTTTCAAAGCTTTTTATTTCATGAATTCGCGAACTATGTATAAACGTGACCACTTTTGAATTTATGAAATGAAGAATTCATGAGCTCTGTCGCATAAACGTAGTAAATGAATAGAAAAAAAAATAAAACATCAATCATATTATTATGGGCGCTTATACTTTTGTTAATTGTTTGCCCGAGCTTTTCCTCCAACTTGTGGCATGCGTCTGGAAAATATTAATTTACGTTCTTTGGTCATATATGTTGTAGAAGTTTTAGTACGTTGAAACTTGAAACCTTTTACTGACACGGCACTATGAAATACCCTTTATAATAAAGTGACATCAAGAGCCTGTCAGACGTGGCAATGCAATATATTTCGAAATTGAGAAATTTCAGAAAGCAGTTGCATGAGCAGTCACATCTTGCATTTAAAGTGTCTTTCGAAAGAAGTTTTTTATTTCCGAAAGGCGAATTGCAGATTGCTAATGCAGCACGTGCAAGTTGAAATACATTTCCGAAATCGATTTGCGTTTCTCAATTGCAGACCCACCTTGCATCTTTTATTTTTGAAACTGATTTCCGAAATGTCAACTTGACAGCGAATTGCGTGGAAAAATTGGAAATATTGCCACGTCTGACGAGCTCTTTACAGTTGGCCAGCTGTTTCTGTTACTACCGAATAAAGCAAACTAAAAACATTCAATAGCCAAAAGAATTCACTGGTTGTTCTGTATGGAAATTAAATTTAATTTATTAATATCGCACAAACTATAGATTATAAGTATAGTAGTGGCTGGGCTACAATTTTGTGTCCAAAGGCTAAACAATTCTATAATGATTAGCAAGTAAAGTGTTCAAGCCATAGTATCAAATATCAATCATCAAAATGAAAGAACAAAAATTATTGCTAATACTTTCGCAGTCGCTAATTGGTGAGTACATTTATTCTTGACCATGCAAATGTGTGCTATTCCAGGGGAAAATTATTTTGGGGAATGTAAAGAAAGAGTTCATTATATTTGTAAAAT